AAAAAAATTATGGCAGCTATATTTTTATTGCACTAACACCCGCTGGTCATGCCATCCGTGAACAGCACAAATGTTTTAAGTGGTATGCGAAAAAACTATAAAGTGAAGCTTTTAAAAAGGGGAGATAAAGGAAAAATTTCGCCAAATTCGCTTATAGTCGCAGATAATATAAATATCAATTTAGCAGAGAAATGTAATTCGCAATATTTTTCTGTTCAAAAACTAATAAAACCAGACCAGGAACCTTAATCAACCCGTTTGTGGATAATTGAAAAGTTCCAGCCTGAAAATTAAACGTCAGAAACGCAAATATTAGACCGACCAATGATACTTTTTTAAGTTTATCAACATTTGGAAAATGTTGTTTGTTTTCATATTGTGCTATTGTTTTTTACTTCAATATATTAAATATATTCATACATACATGTGTATGTATGTATTTAAAAACATCCTTGAACATCCTTGTACGGTTATGCAATGCAGTAAATTACTGTTGGAAATAAGTAACGAACGTCTCGCCAAATAAATATGGTTTCCTCAGCTCATAATTCTTTCATGCAAATTGTGTAAGGATGCGTAAGTAAGCGATAGGGCACCTGGCTTTAAGCATAAAAGGTTAGGCTTGAAGTTTCGGGGGTTGTCAAGAAAAGCACATACTGAAAAAAATAAACAAAATTTTTATTGGTTTGTGATAAGTAAATTTTAATAATTCACGACCCTTTTGATTTTTAAAGCAGGTTCGAAAACTTATTTTATGAGCCTATACGAAGTTTACTTTGTAAACAAATATCCGCTCCTATGATGACGAAGTGAATCTTTGCATGCACATATAGGAATGCATACGCTTGCACACTCGATATTAAATTGAACTTAAATCGGTTTTGAGTGCTTTTCCTCCCAACGACCTTGTCGGCCATGGCTGCATTCAGCATTTTTCATCAATATTTCTCATTTGATTATTTTTCTTTTTTTTTAACTTGTAATTACAAATCAAACACCAATCTCGAATCGAACAAAAATATATACACATACGCTCATGCATATACATATGCATACATAAATACATATGAAATCTCTTGAAGTTTTTACTATTAATAACGGTGTGCATGTAAACATATACGTATATGTATGTACATGTGTATGTATGAACGGTTATATGAAATGCAATATTGGAATTTGATGGAAAAATACTCCATCACAGGGAGAGTGCCCAGCAAAAAATCGGTAATCGCTTTTAGTGATAAAGTGTTCTACAACGCATTGCCTTATAATGGCTTCTAATTTTTTTGCTTCTTCTATGTATTGCCGGTAATGCACAGTAGAATGTTCTACAATATTTTATTAATTTCGCTCACTGGTTCTTTGCAAAAGTAAATTTTATTTATAACCGAAATACCACACATCGTACAGTGAGCTGTAAGCTACCAAAACTGGAGATCAATTCTTAATTTATTCGTAAATATGTACTTCATGTTCTCAAGCTGATCGCTGTGGTGTAGTGGTAAGCAGTGCGCGCTTCCACTCCGCAGCGCCTGGATTCAAGCCTTGATCAAAGCAACATCGCATACAAAAATATAGAAACAAGGTTTTTTATTAACAGCGGTCGTCCCTCGGCAGGCAATGGCAAACCTGCGAGTGCATTTCCGCCACGAAAAACAGCTTTCGTAAAAATACAATACTGTTCGGAGTCGGCGTAAAATTGTAGGTCCCTCCCCTTTGTGTGACAACATCAAGGCCACGCCATAAGTCGGCCAAACACTAACCCTGTGGTGAAAATCTCTAGTTCTGAACTGGGGCACTTCTAGTACATTTAGACCCAGTACTGGTACGCGATAAATCTCTTTTGCATGCAAGCAACTGGCGAATTTAACATGGCGATGTCCTAGGAAGTGTCAATTGCCCCCCGCTGCATCCCTTTTTCGATAGTTCCGAACTAGTCCTAAATTCTATAGTTCCGAACCAGTTCTAAAATCGACAGACGAAAGAAAAAAGTATCATGATTTTTCAATCTTTTCGGTTCTTCCGTGTGCGATTTTACATTATTTTCAAAGAAACGTTTTTCAATTTGAAATTAAATTTGTTTGAATGATTGTAAGAAATGTACGTTTACATACCTTGCTGTAGCTGACTTTGCAGAGATGCTCGCTGTTATTGGTTAGATTCCAGATTGCCCCAAGATGTTAATATGTTAACACAAAGCTTTGTTTTGTATTACCAAACTATGAAATAGCATCTGCGAAGCACAGAATAGAAGCGTATTTGAACGAAAAAGCCGCCGAACACATATCTATGTAAAGTAAACAAGCCCCCCGCTGCATCCCTTATTCGATAGTTCCGAAATAGTTCTAAATTCGACAAATAGGATCTAGTTCGTTCTGCATCCTTTTTTCTATAGTTCCGAACCATTTCTAAATTCGTCACTTTTGATATATATCTGTAGTGAAAAAAACTGAAAAAATTAGTTTCTTAAAAGTACCACTTTTCTATTCGTGAAAATATTCCAGGACGATTTGATGGCCACTGGAAACAGCTACTAGTTTTAATTATTTTATTAGGTATATGCCAACTTTGTTGATTGTTGCTGACGTCTCGGATTTGCCAATTTGAGTTCCCGAACCACAACTTCGACTTTTGAAAAATCTGCCCAAAATAATGTTCAAATTTTTCTTGAATATCCGTTTCATTTAAATAAACTAAAAGCGTCGTCGTGCAATTTTTTTACCATGCGTTCGTATGATAAATAGATCAGACAATTTAAAGCGCAAGTCATTCCACGAAGTATAACAGATGATAAGTGCGACTTTCCCTAATTGAAAGGACTGCCTATGAAAATATCTAACTTTAGCGATTTTAGAAACGTTTTTGTTTTACTTTCCTGAAAAAAATCCAGAACTTTCCAAATTTTATCCAAAAGGCATTTTTTTTTTGAACGAAATTTAAAAGGTCATACATTAAAGATCGAAGAAAAGGAAAAGAAAATTGTTCTCTCCCTCAAACTACTTATTTTCTCAAAGCAGTTGGAGACCTACAAGGCGTGATCGATATTACGCAGATCGGTCAAAGTAGACTCTAAAAACACGCGATTTTTTCTGTTGCAAGTACCTTGAATGACTATGATACAGAATTAGTATGCGAAGCTTTAGAACATAATTGAACAGGGAAAAGTCAAGTTATAATTTTCCTGATTCGTTTAGGAAAGGGTAACTTCAAGGCAAGGCGCCAGACGTTAGGGTAAAAACATTGTGGAGCGGCGAGCAAAGATCACCGAACAAAGCTCGATTTCAAACGTATAAATATGTTTCAATGGGAGTGTGCATTGTGAAGGGCAAAGTAATTGAAGCTTTGCTCGATGGTAGCTCCTCGCTTTGCTCGCCGCTTCACTATGTTTTTACCCTTAGAAGTATTTGCTTTATTATTATGTACACAAATATGAACATACGCGCCATGTGCAATTTTAGCTGTGCAATTTTTTTCTTACACATTTCACGCATTTCAATGTACATACAAATGTACCCAAAAGACGAAGCTATGGCACACATTTGAATTTGCCTTCATATACGAGGAAAGGGTTGCCACAAAGCGATGCCAACATTCTGGATAGGTTAGGTGTAATGCAAGCAAGAAACATGAAAATAAAAGCAAATACTTATGTATATACATTTGTATGTTTTATGTACGTACGTATGTAGGTGATTGAAGAAAAAATGAAATTCCAATTTTCGCTTCATCACTTCTATAATTTCTTTCACTGTTTTAAAAACTAAATTAATTAAGCCTTCATTGCAATCGTTTTACATAGATATCCTACGATAGCTATTTCACTATCTACATTTTAAATATATTGATTTCTTTTTGCAGATTCTTCCTTGGCTGCACCAACAGAGACAACAACAATATTGTCAATGGAACCAAAAGACATTGCAGCAATGGAGACAGTGCCGTTTTTAAGTGCATCAACGGACAATGTGTCGGTGGCAAAAGCTCTCCATGATAAAACAACGAACAGCATAACGACAAGAACTACGACGGCCGTGACACCAAAAATAGTGTCTTCAGCACCACCTGTATTATCATTAATTTCATCCACAACATCAGCAAATATCCCCGACACCACTACCGTTGTCGACACAACGATATCTTCACCTTCTTTTCATGCGCCGTCACATCCGCACTCACCACTATCACTAACACCAACGCCGCAGACAACATCGAATTCCTTGCCCACTTTCACAGTAACAACAATATTTCCATCGGGTGATTTACCCAGAGAGTTATTCACAATAGAGGCCATCATAGCGACAACAACAGCAGATAACAATGCCGAAAGCGCAAGTGTTGCTTTGCAACGCCCACCCCCCTCCGATGTACTTTTAAAAGGTTTTTCAATACCAACGTTTTTACCGCCCTTTCCGGCATTTGCCATGGCCGACCTTCCATCCTATACAATGACACCTACTTCGGCACCAGCAGCGGAGCTAGCGGACTCACAAAATCAATTGTATTTAGCCGCCTATCAGCAAAATGCGCCCCTACACAACTTATCGATGCCAGCGGTGAATATTACCGTTCAAATGGGGAATCACGCTTACCTACCTTGCAAAGTAAGTATCATAAATGTACACATGTATGTATATACAGGGGTAGGCACTCGAAGTGTTACCAATTAAAAATGCTATAAGTTTGTCTATTTTGATTTTTTTTTTTATTAATGTGTATTACTTAATAGCAGTGAATCTGTGCGGGAATGCTTCACAGAATGCACGAATGTGGTCTGGTGGTATATTGTCCCAGTGGCGGGGAAGAGCAATCTTCAAGGCGTTGATTGTCTCGTATATTTTAGCTGATTCTTTGGCCTTGAGAATGGATCATATGGGTTTAAGTCCGGTAAGCAGAAAACCTTAAACGATGGTGACGAGTCTTATTGAAATGTCCAAAGATTTTTACCGAATTGTTTTCGTGCGAAAGTTAACAAAGCATCGGTTAAAATATTTTCTGGGTAGATTTGTTTATTTAGGTTCACGCCCTGTTTAATGCAAAATTCCACTACACGACATTCGTGCAACATGTGAAGCATTTCCGCACAGACTCGCTGCTTTTATCCGCGCTAAAGATGGCTACATCGAACAGTAATACATTTTTATTAAACCCTGACTAGTTAAAAAACAAAATCAAAATAGACAAAATTATAGCATTTTTATGTATGTATATTAGACTGCATCACTCCCCATACAAAAAAAAAAAATCGGTGCTATTTTTCCATTGGAATTATAAAATTTATTATATTTTAAGACGTCCACCAAAATATTTCGGAAAAATATTAAGATTTAAGTGAGCTGGACCGATTTGAAAATACCTCTAAAAATGGAATTTTATATGAATAAAAATAGTTTCTTAAAATTTTTTTTTGAAAAAATCCCCTCAAATGTCAAAACGGGTTTAGCTTAAAAAATTGCATAAAAATATTAAAAAAAAATTTAAAAAAAATTTGAACGGAATCGTAATAATGAGATTTTTGATGCTGTTTTTTAACTTTTTTCAAAGATTGGTATAAGAAAAACTTTAATAACACAACCTAAACTCTTCCGATCTAGGCCATTCGTGAGGTAGAGCTAGAAATTGTCACTAAGGTCTTGGAAAATTGGGATAGCAGCATGCGCTACTGCGAAGGCAGCCGAGGCCACATGAATGAAATCCTGTTCCATAAATAATGGGAATGTTTTCTAATTAGAATAAACCAATAACATACCGAAGAAAAGTTG